CTTTTACGCACCGGGAACAGAGTGTGTCCCCCCCAGTCCGTGCGATCGGACAGACTGAGCGGATCAAGACCGGCCTTCTGAGTCTCTCTCGGATAGGTTCGGGCGGGCTTCGTCAAAACCCCCCTGGAGGCTGGCCCGCAAAGACAGGGAGGAACACGCGCCCATAGTGGCCGTATCTAGCGCTGGACGGTGGCCTAACCCCTGGTGGGCCGGGTTTGCCATTCGATCGGAGCGAACCAAGCCCCGCAACCACCCTGGGGGGGGGGTGTTGCGAGGACTCAGCCCATAAAAGCTCACCATCTTTCGGGTTTATTTCCCCCCCCCGAGTCCCCCTCCGAAATTCCCCACCATCGTATACAACCGAGCCGCACCATGGGGGAGTGCGACTCGGCCCACTTAGGACACCATCTTTCGGGTAGAAAAGCGCACGGAGCGTGCACGGAACCACGGATCCGACTCCACCAGCATACCCCCGAGACCCAAAGCTTCATCCAGCAAAAAACCCAGTTTCTCTGCCCGGGTCCGATCCGTCGCTCATTAGGGTGAGGGTGGTGATGGGAACTGTCATGGAGCTGAAATTCCACGTCAAACGCCGAAAGAAGTTGCCGAACTCCAGAAACTGCTGGACCAACTGAAGAGAACTTTGGTGGAGCCAGTCTACTACAGCCTTTGTCTTGTCAGGGTCCATACACAGGATACCCTTAGATACCACAAAACCCAAGAAGGGATTTTTGGAGGCTGACTTCTCCAGCTTAACGTACAGGCAATTCTCCAGTAATAGTTGGAGAACCTGACTGATGTGCTCTACACGTGCTTGAAAGGAAGAGCTGTAAATCAGGATGTCATTAAGGTAGATGTAGACATAACGTCCCAGGGCCTCTCTCAGCACTTCATTTATTAACCTCTGGTAAACCGCCGGAGTGTTCATGAGGCCAAAGAGCATCACCCAGTATTCATAATGCCCAGAGGGGGTGGTGAATGCAGTTTTTCACTTATCCCCCTGCTTCATGTGAATTAGGTTATTAGCACTGTGCATGTTCTGCTTGGTAAAAATCTAAACCTGCTGCAGTGCCTAAAACACTGTTGACATGAGTAGCAGGGGGTGGCGGTCTGATATTAAGGTCCTAATAGTCCATGCAGGGGCAGAGACTACCATCCTTCTTAGCGATGAAGAATCTGGCCCCTGCAGGCAAAGAAGAGGGTGTAGCAAAACACCAACATCTGGTTGAGCCAAGTCACTCCTGTTACCCACTAAAAGGGTTTGGCTCCACAAAGTCTGAGGTAGAAACCATTAACATCAACATTAAGTTGCCAACAAGTTTTACAGCTTAAAAGGACGTTACCTTAGGAATCTGGACACTATGGGAGATTAGCAACCCCCCTTTGCTCCATATGGCATACCAGGCAGCTATAAATCCTTGCCTGGAATCCAGCTACAGGCCTCACCAAACTTCTAACTAAACTTGTGAATTACAAGAAATTAAGTTTCTAAAGGGTGCACCAATGCAGAATTGCCACCATTCAACGGGGTACATTTCAAGAAGTCTGGAGACACCAAGAACGAGGTTGTCATGAGAATCTATGGCAAAGTTAGCCTTTTTAGATTTTATTGACAATTTAAATGTGGGGCTACAACACCCCCAAGTGGTGAGAATGAAGCACAACACACCGCCACCGTAAGGACATGTGCTTATAAAGAACCCAAGAAACTTCTTGCTTTGTCTGCTTGATTATCGACATTTATATAATCTGTAAGCAATACTACTTGTTTTATTTATCTTATTGTTATGTGTAGTACCTAAATATTACCTGTATCTTTTTCTACTATTAAGTGCAAGAAATACATAGTATATAACTTTGATAACAGACAGACCCAACCATTTAATTGCTATGAGTTTAGACCATTGACCAATATGTATCCTGAATGTGGTTTTCTTTTCTCTTCTTCTTTTGTTCCTTTTCTTTTGTCGATTTTATTTCTTCATGCATTGGGTCATATTAAGACATTACAGGCAAATATTACCTGTGTTCTTTAACATGTGTTGTGTATCAGGTAACAAGGGTTAAACTCTATCTTAGAAACATGCCTGAATATCCTAGTTGTTCATTCCTTGATTTTGAAAGTTAAACCAATTTGATGATATAGCAATGTTTCTTTTTTTTTGTTTAAAACTAGCTGAAACAAAGAAGGCAGTGATTCTGGGGAAGGCATTCCTAAAATTATGCACAACCAATCAGAGTTGGAAATAACGAATAGCTAGTTAACCTTGGGTGAGGAGAACCTATTAGCACTCTGGCTCCATCTCCAAAGGGTAGGGCCTCCAGCCGAGCAAAACCAGAGTGCACCGCAAATTTAGGGAGTTCGGAGTCTTGCGTTCTCAACAAGAAGATAGCTAAATTTCTAAGTCTGTGCTGGCCTTAGTCTGAAAGACAGGTCAGAAGTATTAGAACTCTAAATTTCAGATCTGAAACCTTTGTTTGTTTTTGTAACTTGTCTGTTCATCTACAAACCTTAAGCTTAAACCACTCTTAGAGAAGGAAGGTGAATGGCGCTCGTCTGGCCAGGAGAAGTCGTTCATGTTTCCGACTTTGCCAAGGGTAGTTAGTTAGTTAAATTAGTATCACCAGCCTCAGAATCCTGATTGCAATCTAAACCTCGCCAGCGGAGTGGGAGCAGTTCTGACGCCATGGAGATCCAGCATCGCAACCAGAGCCACGCACTAATCTGTGAACAGATTGACCATCGAAAGGCTGCCCAAGCTCCACCTTCAAACAGCCATGAGACGCCTCCGCCCAATCACTGACGGAAAGGCACGTGCCCGCACGGAGATGCAGCATCCACGGCCAGCGTGGGGATGAACCAACGTGTGAGCTCCAGCCTTCGATCGAGTCCGTCCTGAGACGACCCCTCCTGAAGTCAGCCCCGACTCCAATGTAAGCTGGTTCCATCAATTTGCAGTCAGGGCGCTGACCCCAATTTATTTAATAAGAGAACTTACTAGGTACATCCAGCCATATAGTTCTTCCCGTCCAGGCTTAGGTTAGTTCTCTAGAGGCTCTTTCAAGGGACTTCCCAAGAACCACACTGCCTCATACCATTTAGCTGTGAATCACTTTACTCAAGCTATTTTGTCCTTTTGACTTTCATTATTATCATTTTTGTTTTGTTTTTTTTTTGTTTGTTTTTCTGTTGTTTATCATTGAATATAGTCCAAAAGTAGTTTGATATTTAGCCAATAAATTCCCTTTTACTGAAGCATCCTTGGTGCAAACGTTTCTCTCTCTTGCCCTGGTCTGTAGACTTCAAATAAATCTGGGTTACTCCACACCCTTATCTAAGGTTCTAGCAGTAATAACATTAAAATTGCAAAACCTGTTACAAGGGACATATGAACCCCAGCTCCAGTCCCTCCTGGATGCGTTCTTCTGTAGCAGAATGTTCTGGGGACAGCAGTGTAAACAATTGGCTATGGGGTAGAAGTTTGATGGCATAGTTGAAAGCCGTGTGCGGGGCCTTAGTTTCACTTACTCTTGGCCTTGACTGGTGCACCCATATTTGTCAGGCAATGGCCCTCACAGGTCCCAAGTGAAAATAGACTAGGCAGACTAGTTAATGCACGGGTTGTGCTGTGCTAGCCAAGGAAACTCCAACACCAAATGTAGATGGGATTCCCTCGTGATGAATACAATGACCTGCTCACTGTGGGTACCTATATACAAGGTAATGGGCTGGGTAGCATGAGTAACGGTAGTATGGGAATTTCCGCGGTCACTGGTTCTAGACCTGCCTGAAAGCCACATGTGCCCTCTGCTGGCTGCCAGCACAGTGGACCAATTCCTTACAGCCTGATCAAAGCTGGTTTGAAAATGGCTCTGTGCAATGTGCTCACAGAATTGTGTGGTGTGTTTCCCTGATGCGAGGTGGACATCAGGGAAACACACCACACAATTGTGTGTTAGAGTTGCCTAACATGCTCCAGGACTCCATTTCCCAGAATCCCAATCCTCGTTACCTCACCCCTTCCACCAATCACAGACCTCTGCCTCATTCTCAGTCACCTGAATACTAATTCAACACACCTGCACCCGTTTGCCTTAGACTTTAAAAGGATCCTGGTTTGTTCTCCTCTTTGCGAGATATTGCCACTTTACTGGTTTACTAAACGTTTCTCTCCTGATTTCATGACTTGTGTACGGAACCTATTGCCTGTTTTTTGACTGTTACTCTTTTGGATTTTCCCTTTTGCTCTGGTTGCCTGTGTTTTTGTATTTTCTGTTTTTTTTTTCTTTTTTACTTTTTGCCTGTGTTTGGATACTGTTTTTGGATTTGCCTTGACTCTGTTCTCTCATTAAAACAACTATCGTTTTTAAGATCCACGAGCGTCTTTCTGTGCCTGTTTGGCATTACATGTTAGAGTTGAATTCCCTCAGAGCTGTTAGGGTTAAATTTTAATTCTTTCACTTGCACAAACCTCATTTCAGAATAGGTGGAACAATATGTGAAATTCAAAATAAAGCAAAATGCAGTGATTAATAAAGTCAATTTGACCTGTATTTAAAGAAAAACAGTACAAAGATATATTTTTTTTTATAAACTTCATAGTTCACATTCTAAAATTCATGCCTCCAAAGTTGGGAGGCAATTTAAGATGCGGAACATTTTGAAATGTTAAAAAAACCTAACCACTGAGACAGTGCTGCATTAAAAATTTAATGTTTTTGTAATGGATATCACAAATTTCCAAAGAATGTATATTTAAAAAATACCCAACAATAATAACAACAATAAAGTTATTGAAGGAAAATATACAGTTAAATGTTTTTATCCTGTTTTTTACGGGTCAAACAGAATTTACTAATCACTGCTCTCTGGTTTATGAACATCAGTGCTGTTGTGCAGTGACTGTTCTGGAGCCCTGAATGTACGAGTCAATGTGCAGATCTCACATAAGAACAGAGTTCATCTTCATTACTGAGTCCATCTCTCTGAACTGTTCCAGAGCGGTTGGTGGTGAGGGGAGCGCTCCACCCCATCTTCACCTCAGTGGGTGAGGAGGTGATACTGAGCTGCTCTGTAGACTCACATATTCCAGTCCACCAGCTGGAGGAAGTGACCTGGAAAAAACACCCAGACATCCCAGTTCTGCTCTTTCAAGAAAACCAGACCTTCTCAGAGTTTTCTCACGAGAGCTATCGAGAACGAGCCGAGTTCTTCACGTCTGAAATCCCTCGAGGAAACTTCTCACTGAGGCTGAAGGACGTTAGGATGGAAGATAAAGGACAATTCATCTGTGAAGTCCACACTGCTGACCTTTCAGGACAGACCACAGTGATCATCCAGCAAATAGGTAACAGTGGAGAATTAACTATAACACTTAACTTTTCTTTTTACTCACAGATCAATAACTGGGATTTGTATTTTGAAAGATGATGAAGACAAACAGTATCCCAAATTTGCATCAGAAATCAATGAATGCAAGTCAAAAATATGGCTGGGTCTGAAAGGACCTGTTTGATAATTTAACAGTGAAGAAATTTTCCTGACTTTCCTTCCTGTGGAAATACACATTTTTCTTCTGATGAAGTTCGAAGTCATTATGATCAGGAGCGAAACTGCACATTGAACTTACCAGGAAATATTACAGCATGCTACACACGCCAGTGCCCCCAGTTTGGGCGTTCTGTATTTGATGATAAGAGCAGTGAGATAAATATTGTTCACTTTATTGACTCTCTGAAGATCATCTGTAGTGAAGAGATCCATGTTGGTTATGGCCTTAACAGAATCCCACAGCACTGTAGAGTTCATAATAGTTCTGTCATAGTTCATGTATTAGTGATGTGTTAACCTGATATACAGCACCATCTGGAGGCAGATGTGATTTTAATTGGTTTTAGTTTAAACTAAAGCTTCTAAGGAAACAGCAGTGGAGCTTAAAAACCCACATGACTCTTCAGGTTTAAACTCGGGTTAAACTCTAAACCACAGCTAAGCTAATGACAGTGAAATTACCCCTACAAGTCCTCAGCAAGGGTTTAAGATCTTTCTTCTTCTACCTCTTAACTCCAAACCTAAGGTTAACACTGCCCCCCAGCAGTCAGTGACAGTAACTGCACTTGGTCTCTACCTTGTTGTTGGAGCTGCTGTCCTGCTCATCCTAATCTGCCTCTTCTCCACCTAAAATTAAACAACAAACTCCAAACAAACTCCAATCACAGAGCAGAGAGACTGCAGCAGCAGCAGAACTGGACTAACTCTGAATGACCCTGAATATTCTGTGTGTTTCAGAGCTGAGTTTGATGTTAAATGGTGTGAAAAGGTTGAGATTTTAATGTCTTTGCTGTGTTTTCTCATTCAGGTTTCTCTCCTCTCCACGTTTTCATTCTGCTGCTGTGTTTCACTTCATTAACACTTGCTGTCGGACTCGGAGTTCCTGTTTTTATCTTCCTACACAAACAAGGTACAGAGTGTCCTGAAGATTCAGTGAAGTCTTTCATTCCTGTTTTAATATTATATAATTAGAGATGTTCTTTAGTGTTCATTTTGATTATTTTTGTTGTTGAGGTTTTTTACTGTTAATTAGTGACAGGCAGTACCTTTGGGAACATAATTGACAGTGAATCAAGCTTTTTTGCAATTGATAAAAAAAGAAATGAAAATATAAATCTAAAAACTAAAAATGTGAAATGAATGAAATTGATTGTTTCTTCCTCTTCAGAAACAGACAGACGAGCGATGATCATGTATATTTTTCTGGTCTTTTGTCCAAACATTTGCATGTTCATAGCTTTTGGACTGTGGTCGACAGAAGGTGAGTTCAAGAAAATTTCATAAGAATTTATAATAATTAAAATTATAATAATTTACTTCTCTACATATAAGCTCTATGGCTCTATTCCTACAGAGGCGCTTTGCCTCTGAAGGGGCTGTAACTGAAGTGATAAAGAAAATATCTACCTGCAGCATGTCTGACAGTAATAACTGTAGAGCGGTTTTAATCCTGTATGAATGTGTTTTAATTACTTTATCAGTGTAATGTTTAAAACTAATGTCAGAGTTGAGGACAACTCCCAGGTCTCACTCTTCGGATTCTATGCTATGTTGCCAAATTTCCTAGTTACTGGTCCTTGATATTTTCAATAGACTTAAGTGAGTGAAAGAGTTGCTGATCATGAGTTTTGGTACCAAAATTCTGATATTTTGTGATGTTAATCTTCAGGATTTCTCAGTGAGGTCGTAATTTGTGCAGCCATCAGTCTTGCTCGCTGTCTGCTGTTGATGAAGACAGCTCCTTATCTCAACACACTTCCAGGTAAGAGTTTAAAACAATTCAGAAGAAAATAAAAATGAATACAGCTGTTAGCATCAGTCTAGGAGACTAGAGTCTGGAAGAGGTTCAGTACTGCACTATTTTACACACTTTCCAACTCACAAAAGGCTTTTACTTAGCTGATGGACTGAAGTTAATTACCCTGATTTTATTACTTATATTTAATATTAGGTATTTTTGAGCTTACATACCAAATGGCTTCAAAACAATAACTACACACATGTGATTTACAGAGCGTTTGGTGAGAGAAGTAAAGATCCTGAGTGTTGTGCTTCAGTACTCAGTCATAGTCACAGCTGTATTCTCAGGTAAGTTTTTTCTCCTGTACTTCAAGAATTTGGCTCAGTGATGGACACTGAGACCACTGGGCAATGGAGGCCTATGGTCCTTTAGCACCTATGATAAGATCAAAGGGGCAGCCACTGCTCTTTTGTGCTTTTGCTTCATTTAAATATGCATTAATAAAAGTTGCTAAACACTGAGGGTCCAGGGGGTTCAGGACTCCCAAATGAACCTCTTTCTCCTATTAAGGTAAAACAGATGCTCAGATTCAGTGAAGCTCATTGTTTATCAGCTTCTGTCTCTGGTGTTCTTAACTAACTAGAGCTGCAGCACTGCTCTGCCTCAGGGTGGCGCTGTAGCAGACTGGTTCACCCAGTTGGTCCTTCATAGCCTAGAAACTGTAACTCTGCCCGAATTCCTCTGAAAAACTTTACAATGAGCACGCGCTGATCGCCTCTTACTAGTAGGCTTAGCTCAGGGGTCACAACCGTAATGTTAAGAAGATCCATTTTGTCCTTTCAACAAAAATGAAACCACTTTGGGAGCCACAACATATAATGTCTGTTTTACCATCATGGCTCAGTATGTGCTAATACAGGCTAAAAATATAAACACAAACACAGACTTACTTTGCTCTGCTTTAACCTTTAGCTCAGCTATAGTCGCTTTTCTTGCATCACAGGAAACTTTTTCGTGAGTTTCTTGTAAAATGTCTCTCAATGTTTGACTTTTTATGAGGCTAAAGTCGCTTCTCATTCTCCAGCTTCTCGTTTGAATTGACCCATTCCACCTTAAATGGTGCCTAAGGCATTTAAGGTGGAATGGGAGAATTCGAACGAGAAGCTGGAGAATGAGAAGCGACTTCAATTTCGCAAGTTGTTGCAGATTAAACGTATGAGGAAACCAGCTGAGTGATTATAAACGTAAATAAGTCCATTCATCTCCAAATTAAATCTCTTTTTCTCAAATTAAATCTGCTGGAGTTTTTAAACACTGTGTCCACTCACTGTCCACTCTATTAGACGCACCTGCGTTGTTGGTTCACCCTATAGATGTAAAGTCAGAGACGATAGCTTATCTCTTGCTGTACAGTATTAGCTAATCATCCTCTAGTCTTTCATTGGTGGTCACAGGACGCTGCTGGCTGGATATTTTTGACTGGTGGACTATTCTCAATCCAGCAGTGACACTGAGGTGTTTAAAAACTCCAGCAGCACTTCTGTGTCTGATCCACTCGTACCAGCGCAACACACACTAACACACCACCACCATGTCAGTGTCACTGCAGTGCTGAGAATGATCCACCACCCAAATAGTACCTGCTCTGTGAGGGTCCATGGGGGTCCTGACCATTGAAAAACAGAGTAATAAAGTATCAGAGAAACAGATGGACTACAGTCTGTAATTGTAGAACTACAAAGTGCACCTATATAGTAAGTGAAGTGTAACGCTCGGACAGAAAACCAGACGTGTGCGGGTGATGAGTGAAGGTGGTTTAATATAAACCAAGCGGCCGTAGTCAAAAGGGGAAAAACAGAGATCGTAGTCAAAAAACAGTCCAAAAGTCAAAACACAGATCATACACACAAGCGAAAGTACCAAAGGAATAGGCGAGAGGCAAAAACGGAGTCAAACGAAGCAAAAGGTCAAAACACGGTAAACGATCAGAACAGAAAGAAAACGCTCAGTAGTCTCAGAGAAACAATACCTCGCAGTGAGTCTAACTAAAGCCTGGGCTTATCTACTCTACCCAACATTGTTCCTCGGGACCATACCCCTCCCAGTCCACTAGGTATTGCAGGAGCCCGCCCCATCTCCGGGAGTCCAGCAGTCTACGAACAGCATATACTGGAACCCTGTCTATCACCTCCGGTGGCGGGGGCATGACGTCTGGTGTCGCCTCATCCATGGGCCCTGCAACCACAGGTTTAAGTAGAGAAACATGGAATGAACGAGAGACTCTGAACCTTGGGGGTAAATCTAAACGGTAAGTCACCTCATTAATACGTTTGATTACCTTGTAAGGCCCTATATATTTAGGCAAAAGCTTATGGCAACTTCCCTCTGGACGTCGAAAGTCCCTTGTAGACAGCCACACTCGGTCTCCGGGATTGAACGTTGGAGTCGGACCCCGGTGTCTGTCTGCCTGTTCTTTCTGACGTTGCAGCACCTCTTCAATGTGTTGATGTGTCTGCTCCCACACCTGTTTGCTGCGTTTCATCCAATCATCCACTGCAGGAACATCTGTTTGGACCCCAGTCCAAGGTGCAAGACGGGGCTGGTACCCTAGAATACACTGAAAAGGTGTCAATCCCGTAGAAGAGCAAGCCAATGAATTCTGTGCGATTTCTGCCCAACTCAGAAAAACGGACCAATCAGCAGGATTGTCATGGCAAAATAATCTCAAGAATTTTCCAAGTTCCTGATTAGCCCTCTCGCATTGTCCATTGGACTGTGGGTGATACCCCGATGACAAGCTCAGTGACACTCCCAGATGCTCGAAAAAGGCTGCCCATACCTGTGAGGTGAACTGAGGTCCCCTATCTGCAACAATGTCCTCCAGAATTCCGAAGATCCTTAATACAAACTGGAACAGGGCCTCTGCAGTCTGAAAAGAACTGAGTAGATTAGAAAAAGGTACAAAACGGACCCCTCTGGAAAATCTATCAATGACCGTCATAGCTGTCGTGAAACCTTGCGATTCTGGTAGGTTGGTGATGAAATCAACTGCAATGTGGGACCATGGTCGACTGGGTATGGGTAATGGCAGCAATTTCCCAGCTGGTAACAGTTTAGGTGTTTTGCACTGAGCACATGTTGAACAGGAAGAGATGAATGAATGGATGTCTTGATTCATGGGTTCCCACCAGTATCTATTAGCTAACAGTTTGTGGGTATGGGTTTCTCCTGGATGGCCTGAAGTTAATGATGAATGAGCCCAAGTTATCAGTGAAGTTCTGAGTGGCTGGGGAACATACAGTTTCTCTGTGGGACAATGCTCAGGTACTTGCGTGTGGGACAAAGCCTTCTCTATTTCCTCATCCATTTGCCACCTAATAGATGAAACGTTCACCTCGGGAGGAAGGATCCTTTCTGGGGTCTCGTTCTGCAAAAGGTTCATCTCGTGTTGATATTTCCTGGATAGGGCGTCAGCTTTAGTGTTACAAGACCCTGGTCGATAAGTAATACTGAAATTAAAACGTGAGGAAAAAAAGCGACCATCTAGCCTGTCGTGCATTAAGTCTCTTCGCCGTGCGAGGATATTCAAAATTTTTGTGATCCGTCAAAACAGCAAAAGGATGGTTGGCACCTTCCAACCAATGGCGCCACTCGTCTAACGCTAACTTGACAGCCAATAATTCCCTATCCCCTATACCATAGTTTCTCTCCGTGGGTGACAATTTATGGGAGAAAAATGCTATGGGGTGTAGAGATCCCGTCCTCTGGGATAAAACTGTGCCTACCCCTGTCTCAGATGCGTCCACCTCCACCACAAAAGGTTGTGTGGGATCAGGGTGATTAAGAATGGGTGCGGTGGTAAACGCCTCCTTGAGAGATTGAAAGGCCTTCTCTGCTTGTTCGTTCCATGTGATTTTCTTCGGATTTCCTTTTAACAGTGAAGTCAGCGGAGACGCTATGGAGCTAAAGTTTCTGATGAATCTACGATAAAAGTTAGCAAATCCTAAAAACCTCTGCAGCTCCTTTACTGAAGTGGGTTGTGACCATTCGACCACTGCTTCCACCTTGTGGTCATCCATGACAATTCCTTGTTGACTGATGATGTACCCTAAAAATGAGATGGACTGGAGGTGGAATTCGCACTTCTCCCCTTTTAGCAACAAATTATTCTCTAATAGTCTTTCTAACCCAACTCGAACATGCTGTACATTGGTATCAAGGGAAGATGAGTAGACTAGAATGTCGTCCAAGTAGGCGATTACAAAGAGTCCCAGCATGTCTCTGAGGATGTCATTTATGAAGGCTTGGAACACCGAGGGGGCGATAGAGAGCCCGAATGGCATCACCAGATACTCATAGTGCCCCCTAGTGGTCAAAAATGCTGTCTTCCATTCATCACCTTCCTAAATTCTAATTAAATTGTAGGCACTACGGAGATCCAATTTGGTGAAAAACTTAGCACTCTGGAGCTGCTCCAGTGCTACTGGTACTAGAGGTAGGGGATATGGATAAGCCTTGGAAATCTGGTTAAGGGCTCTGTAATCTATGCATGGACGTAACCCACCTGACTGTTCCAGAACAAGAAATGAAAGTTGTTCAGAGTGTAGGGCACTGGTCTTGGTCTCCAAAGGCACTGTTACTTGGGTAATGGGTCTCAGTCCCACTGGGTCTCCATCTTAAGCAGTGACTTTGAGAGCTGTTTGAAGATTCTTGACAGGAATCTGCAGCTGTTCCACGATCCTAGCGTGGAGGAAGTTCCCTTCAGCCCCCGAGTCGATCAGCGCTGAAACAACAAGAGAGTTTGGATGAAAGTAAATCAGAACTGGTAAGATCACTGATTTAGAAACCAACCCCTTTGTGGGAACACTCACCACATTAGTCCAGGGTTCGGTGCCTTGCTTTGCTGTGGTCTGGAGCGGCAGTCTCGAACTTGACGTCCGGCTTGACCACAATATAGACAAAGATGATTGGTGATCTGGCACTGTCTCTCCTCTGGTGATATGCGCGAGGAATCACATTGCATGGGCTCTGGGAGCTCAGGATTTTCTCTTGTGATCCTTACGTGGGGCTGTGTGTTTCGTGGGGGTTTTAAGCTCTTATTTCTCTTTCTGGAGTTCAAGAGGTGGTCGAGCTTAATAGCCAGAGTGATAAGTCGGTCTAATGTAAGATCATCATCTTTACTGGCTAGTTCATTCAGAACGTCCGTGTTGAGCCCTTAACACAACATGACAAGAAGAGCTGCCTCGTTCCAGCCACTGCTAGTCGCGAGAGTTCTAAATTCCAGTGAATATTCCACTACCGATCGATTCCCTTGGTGTAAATGAGACAAAAGTTCTCCACTAACCTT